ACAGTTTTGATAATCAACTGTTTCGCAATTCATCTCGAAACTGTCCGCTATGCCGAACAAAAATTGAAAAAAGAATTTTCTGTATTCTTCCTTGAGTATGTTTTCACAAATTATTTCACATGTTTTAGTTGTTAACATTCTTTTAATTTTTCTATTCTTTTGTTCTTGTATTTTCAGAAAAATGGCAAGATTTTCAACACGTCGATCCTTCCCAAAAAAATCTTTCAAAAAAAATCAACCGCTGCACAAAAATATTTTATATCTTCTAACATTGATACGAGAAGAAAAATATATTTATGGCCAGTCACTCAGGGAAATGAAAAAAATCTTGAATGCAATCTTGGACACACCTCTCCTCAAATCAGAATGCCGTCCCGAATGCTGCCAGGTGGCTGATACTTTGATCGAAATTGTAGCAGAAGATTTTCTTAAGACTAAAGAACACTTAGAGCTCCAAGATTCTTTACTTTCACTCTTTCTTTGTTCCGTTGACTCTTCTTGATCCGCTTTAATTTCCGTGCAAATTTTCAATATTGATATTTGCATCTCTTTACTTTTTTATTTTATATTGGGTTGTTAATTATGGAGGTATTTTAAATTTTGTATTTTGCATCAATATAGATTGTTGAAATTAAAATTGGATTTATTATGAAAACTGATCATTTTTTATACTATTATCTTGTCATGAAAATGTCATTTGAAGATGTATTTCTATTAATTATTTTCATTTTCTTTTTTTATTTTATTGATAGATGCCGTTCCCAAGAGTCGACAATTCAGTTCGATTACATTATCAAAAACTCATTTTCAAATGTCAACCGATGCAAAAAAAGATTCTTCGGCTCATGTGGTTCTTGGTGAATTGTAATGGTTTTCTCTGTAACAACGAAATAAAACAGATTGATGATATCGTTAGAAAGGTGATTGGAAATAGGAGGGCGCATACAAGGAATATTCGAGATTTATGTAAACTGGCAAAAGCGAGGAACAGTCTTCTGAAGCGTCCAATAACAGAAGAAGTTATCGAAGAATTGCTTTACCGTCTTCACATTTTTTATCACGAAATAGCTGATGAATGAAATTATTACATTTACTTGCTCTTATAATTTCTTAATCTTTGTTTTCATGTTTTTTTTATTATCATTGTTTTTGTTATTTGTTATTTTTGTATTTTTTCACATTTATATGTAATTTACTTTTCATGTCAATTTCTGATTTCAATTTTGCGTTTATTTTCATTAAATTTTTTTTTCTCTAATCCTTTTTCTACAGTTTTTTACGTATATAAACAGTGTTTGTTTGGAATATATTTTAGTTGAAATAAAGACTCAGAATGAACAAGTTGATTAGTTATTTTCATTACAAGCCTCCAACAGATGTTATTGTTCTACACTATGATGAACACAAAGTCAGGCTTTCACAACCATCCTTCACAGCAAGACTTAATCAGGAGTTTCCAAACAATTCTTTGAATAAAAGCTTAAAGGGATCTTTAGTTGGCCCACTTAAAAGTAATGGAAAGAATAGCTTTATATTGAAAGGTAAGTCATTGTGATTGATTTATTCGAAGTGATTATTTATTTTTTGATTGAAGTTGAATATATACTTGATTCGGGTGAGCGTGGTGAGAAAGGATTTGGCTCATCCGGAATCTAGGTATATAAATCAAATCATTTCATTTCTTCTTATTCAGTTCTATTTTATTTCTGAAAATGTCTTTGTCAACAAGTGAAGATACGCAAACCAACACACCCCAACAGACCCAACCGAAACCCATAAAACGAGATAGATTTGAACCTTGGTTCATAAAATTATTAACTGTTGAAATAAATCCAACGTTAGTGATTACTGTTGAAAAAGCACGTTATAGTAATGAAGTTTTTGTTGACTTAAGACGAAACAAGGAAATAAACTGGGGTGGAAAGCTATTTATGGCACGGACTTATTATGGATTTCTCATGCGTGCATCTGAATATGAGAAACTCATAGGAAAAATGGAAAATACTGTAAATATGTTGAACAATACTTTAAGATCAAAGATGCTCCTGGTAGAAAGATTGTGGGTGTTGCTATCGATGATATGGAACCTAAATTGGAATTACGTTTCAAGTCACCTTATACACGATCTTCAATCTGATTAACTAAACTTGAAGTTATAAAGATCATCGCTGAAGCTCCTGTTATTGATGCTGTAATCGTTAAAGAAATTTATTAACTATTTCAGTTTCCTTGATTTATATTATCTTATATCTTTATACTCTTTTATGTCTTTATACTATTTTTATTCTATTATTTTTGCAGTAATTAACTTAAATTACGTCTTTGCAAAGTGGGTTTTCCCTGCAGTTTGAGTGAGCATGGTGAGATTAATACTATCAATATTTAGTATAAAAGCAGAACATTTTTGATTTTCCATCATTCAGTTTCAACTTACAAATTGTGCTAAACATGTCCGCAATTAATGGTGAACAAGAAAATTCAACCAAATCTCTTCAACGTAAAAAATTCAAAGAAGAATTTGAACAAATTCTTTCTGTTGAATTCTCCCCTCAATTATGGATTGCTGTGCAAAAACAAAAATCTGATTCTACTATGTACGTTGATATTCGTCGTAAAAAAGAAGGAAAATGGCAAGGAAATAAAATCTTCATCCCTACACAAGCTGGTCTGTTTCTAAGATATCCCGAATACGAAAAGCTAAGACAAAAGTTGGAGACAGTCATGAGCAATTTCGAAAATATCTTTGAATTCACTCATTTCGCGGGAAGAGTCGTCTCTGGTGTTTGTAAAATAAATGGCTCAATTGAGGTAAAACTCAAGACTGAATACAAAGAAACCAAGATTCCTTTGTCACGTGACGAAGCTGAGAAGTTAATCTCTAACTCGGTTGCCGATGGTATTGCTTCTGCAATGGTTCATGTCATTTATGAATGATTTTTAGCATGTCTTCACTAACATTTTATTCATTTTACTCGTTTTTATATTTGTTTTTGACTTTGTTTCTTATTAATTGATTTTGGTTTATTTACTCGTTTATAACTGATTCTTGTTATGTACTCTTAATATTAATAAAAAGTGAGCGCTCACAAAATAATGTTGTTTTCTTATTTAAAGAAATTTTTTTTTTGGATAAACTTTATTGTTGAAAATGTTTTCTTGTGAGCAATGTGGTGAAAATTTTAAAAAATATAAGTCTCTGCTTTTACACAGAACAAAATGTAAAACCATCACATGTGTAAAATGTAAACTTCAATATAGTGCATTGAATTTTCTAAACCATCTAATGGAATGTAAAGTCAAGAAAACAACACAACAGATATTGAAGATTTTGCAACATTTAAACTTCACAAAAAAGCCTTCAAAAATACACTTGGAGTGTATATGAAAGCAGAAAGCTGGAATTCAATTGAAAGTCTTTTAGCAGTCGAAAAGGACAATATCAAAAATTTACTTAAATATATACTGGAGAAACTTGGTTCGGTTAAAGTACAAGTATGTGTTCTGCTTAAATTCATCAAACAAAAGCCTGATGGAGAAATGGATTCTACTGAAATCTATAAAGTTTCACAAATGCATAGATTAACAAATATGCATAATTTTTCAGCTGTGATAAAAGACTGGATAGAACAACTTGAACTATCAATTGATCAGTTCACTCAAAGAGGAAGTGGATGGGTACTTGAGAAAGTGAAAGTACTCGAGATACGAATTGGTAAATTGAAAGAGCATAGTGGGGGTTGTAAAACCACTCGACTACCACTCATACTTCATCGGAAAAAAAGTTTACTATCACCAAACTGCAAAAAAGAGTGCTTCAAATGGTCTGTCCTCATGGGACTCATCCACAAAAAAGACATAAAGAAAAGCTTTATCTCTACAAAAGATATGAAGGATTGTATAATTTCAAAGACGTTGGCGAAATGACTTCAATTTCACAAATTAAAAGATTCGAAAAAAGAAATAACATTTCGATAAATATTTATACATTATCACTTGATGAGAAAAAGAAAATTGTGCCTCTCGTTATAAATGAAAAACGTAAAGAGAAACATGTTAATTTATTTTTTTACAACGATCACTACTATTGCATTACCAACTTTAATGCACTTATCAAATCTAATCGCTCATGGGAACGATTTTACTGCTATTCGTGCTTAAGCAGCTTCAGAGATGTGCATTCATTGAAAAAACACGAAGTCCCTTGTTACAACAAAGCACCACAACGTGTTATTTTACCCGGAACAGCTAAAGTTCCAACAAAATGCAAATTTAATAAAATTGAAAAGACAATAAGCTTTCCGTATGTTGTTTACGCAGATTTTGAAGCATTGTTGGTAAAATCTGACAAAGCTCTCACACGCAATACATTCGAGTACCAAAAACATGAAGCATGCTCATTTGGGTTGGTTGCTGTTGATTGGAGTGATAATATTATTTACAAAGAATTTTACAGAGGTCCTGATGCTTCGGAAAAATTTATTGAAACTTTAATAGAGTTACGAGAGTTTCTTCAAACCCATCTAGATCTGAACAGAAAACCAGTTTCAATGAATAATACTGAGAGATTAGTTTATGAAAGTGCAACCCAATGTTATGTTTGTCATAAACTATTGAATGATGATAAAGTGCTAGATCATTGTCATCTTACAGGAAAATTTCGAGGAGCAGCACATAATCAATGTAATCTTCAAATGCGTTTACCTGATAAATTACCAATAATTTTTCACAATTTAAAAGGATACGATGCACATTTAATAATTAAAGGTCTCAAGACAGATCTAATGCAAAACATCAGTGTGATTCCACAAAATACTGAAAAATATATCGCAATAATCATGGACGATTTCCTATTCTTAGATAGCCTTGCTTTCTTACTTTCAAGTTTGGATACACTTGCAAACAATCTTCCAACTGAGGAAAAAACAAAGTTTTTAAAACAGGTATTTTCCGAAGCTGATTTACCATACATCCTTGCAAAAGGGGCCCTACCTTATGAGTATATGGACTCATGGGGAAAATTCGAGGAAAGAAAATTACCTCCAATCAATGCATTTTTTTCAAGTTTGTCACAAAAAACTATTGACCAACAAACCTATGACAGATTAAATGGAATATGGAACCATTTTGAATGCGAAAATCTAGGTGATTTTCATGATATTTATCTAAAAGTGGATGTTTTACTACTAACAGCAATTTTTCAAAACTTTCGTGCTACAAGTTTAAAACAATTTGGATTGGATCCATGTCATTATTTTTCAACACCTGGTTTAACATGGGATGCAGCTTTGAAGTTTACTGGAATGAAATTAGATCTTTTAACCGACATTGATATGATTTTGATGATTGAAAATGCAATAAGAGGAGGAATATCATGCGTGATGTCAAGATATGCAAAAGCTAATAATGAATTCACTGAGGAATATAATTCAGAAGAGCCTACATCATTCATTGCTTATCTTGATGTTAATAATCTTTATGGTTATGCACTGAGTGACATTTTACCATGCCGAAATTTTGCATGGGTTCCACAAAACATGGTTGATGGAGTGATTGATGAAATTTTAAACACTAATCAGGAAAGAAAAACAGGATATATCCTAGAAGTAGATTTAGATTATCCTGAATCATTACATGATGAACATAATGATTATCCACTTGCCCCTGAGAAAATTATTGTAGATAATGATCAACTAAGTAATTTTCAAAAGGAAATCGTCATCATGTTGGAAGAAAATGGAGTGAAGCGCTATAAAACCAAAAAACTTGTTCCGAATTTAATGAATAAGAAAAAATATGTCCTTCACGAGCGTAACTTAAAATTCTACATTGAAAAAGGGTTGATTCTTAAAAAAGTACATCGGATCATCAAATTCGAACAAGAACCTTGGTTGCGTTCTTATATTCAAATGTGCACTGAAAATAGAAAAAGGGCTACATCATCATTTGAAAAAGATTTCTGGAAGTTAATGGTGAATTCTTTATATGGAAAAAGTATTGAAGATAAAAGAAAACATAGTAAAGTCAAAGTTGCTACAAATGGTAGACAAGCTCTACAACAAATAAGGAAACCAATGTTTGAACAATTTTACATACTGGACAATGATATTGCAATAATCAAATTGAAAAAGTTTGAAGTTATCCTCGATAAACCCATTTATTTAGGTTTCACTGTCTTGGAATTATCAAAGTTACATATGTATAAATTACATTATGATCATTTCAAACCTAAATATGAATCAAAATTATCTCTCACCTACACTGATACAGATAGCTTCATTTACAAAATAGAAACAGTCGACTTATTCAAAGATTTAGAAGATTTCGATTATTTGATGGATTTTTCTGACTATCCACAAAATCACTTTTTGCACACGACCAATAATAAGAAGAAACTTGGATACCTTAAAGATGAAATGAATGGCCAAATCATTGATGAAGTAGTTGCTATAAAGTCTAAACTTTACGCTATCAAGTATGGTTCAAATAAGAAATTAACAGCTAAAGGCGTTCAAAAGGCAGTCGTTAAAAGTAGTATTTCAATTGAAAATTACAAGGATTGTCTATTTTCAAATGTTTTATTGAAACACAACAACTTTAGATTGCAGAGTAAACAACACTGCATTTCTTCTGTGAGGATAAATAAACTATCTTTCTCACCGCTTGATGATAAAAGATACATATTAGATGATGCAGTCAGCACTTTAGCTTTCGGTCACTATCGAATCAATACAACTCTTGCTTAAAGGTGATTTGAATTGAATTCACTCTTGTTGCAATCAAACCAATTCAATGTATTTTGCTTTGTTTTATCATTGATTTTAATGTTTTTCTTTCTTTTCTTTACAGATGACAAAATACAACATCAGGGTTAGAATGGCACAGATCAGTGCCAAAAAGGCAGGCAGACAACGTATTCGCTTGCTAGTTAAGATGAAACCATTCGACTACGAAGAAACCTGGAAAATGATAAAAACAAACTGGTTGGATGGTTGGGACCCTAAATGGTATCCAGGTAAAAAACCAGCCAATCAAATCAAACTACCGATAGTCAATGGACGGATTGATTTTGGGGATTGGAACGACGTATATGATGAGTATTATGTTGATGAAAAGGATAAAGACCAAGCAGCGGTTGCAAAGGATAAGGATGATGCTCAGTTAGCTGACACGAAATGGGATTTGTCAGCATTCGATGAAATTCTCGAATCACCTGATCAAAATATGGAGGATATCTCCGAAATGTTTGACAATGTTTTGTGCTTGCAATAATTTACACTTTTGTATTTTATGAAATTAATTTTAATACATTTTCTGCAATAATTTTTCATTGTATTTTGTATTGTATTTTTTAAATAGAACAGGATCATTATTAAAACAACTTTGTAAAAATTCAATACAAAAGTATCCACATTTTATTGATAAATCACCTTGGTACACATGTATATTATAATTAAAGCCATACTTTTTACTATTGCGCTCTAAAAATGTTTCAATCAACTGCGGAGGTTTCTGAGCAAATGAATCAAAATACATTGCAGTTCCAAATTCAGGTACGTATACTGCGGTCCAGTGAGATCCATGTTTCCAACTCTGATCAAGGTTTATTACAACCCCGAATGGTTTCGATAACAAGGTAAGTGGAAGTCTATCAATGGCATATACTCCTTTGAAACTTGGAAATTTTAGTAAACTTTTCTCAATATCGATTGTTGTAAGTGCCATTAGTAATCAGTTACAATATTTCGTGATGCATCAATCTGTAAAATACTATCATATATACCAAATACAATCATATGCATTCCTTCACTAACGGTTGCATTGAATTGAATGTCTATTCGAACGTTTCCTCGTTTTATGAGGGATAGAGCACCAGATTCAGAAACGAGCGTACCATCATCAGTTAGATCAAATACTAAAAGTGGAAATTTATTTTCATAATCATCATATTTCAATTGTATTTTAGGTAGTCCATTCTCTTGGTTCATTGATCTGAAAATATTGTAATATTCTCGCATATACAATTGTTTTGTGAAATCAGGTTTATATGGTGAACTAGGAATCTTAATTCCATTAACAACAACAGTAGCACTTTGTAAATTTTTGTGAGAAAATGTAAATGCATCGGACGCAAGATCAGCATTGAAAGATTTATCTGTAACAAACCCAACAATAATTTTTCTAGGCAATTGTCCATTGTAAACATTATCAATGCTATTAGCTGCAAACCCTGCGGGTAAATGAAATGATTTCACTTCGTTTCGTTGAAAATAATACTTGACAGGGTTTTTTTTCCAAATTAGCAGCAATAGACATTGCAACCGGCGGAAAAAGTTTTACTCTCCGAATGAATAATGAAAGCTTCTCAAATTCAATAACAAGTTTAGTTATAGGTTTTGCACAGCTTAATCCAAAGCTTGCAGGAGCACATTTCAATCTCACTGTAATTGGTACATTGTCAATCAAAAATTTTTCTTGTTGAAACATTGGACCATGAATTGGTAAAATAATATCGAATGATTTTTTACTTTTTATCCTATCAACCCTTTTCTCTTCTGCTTCATTAATCATTTGACAATCACCAATTGTTGATTTATATTTTAAAAATAAATCATCAATAAAAGTCTGATAATGGAAAAAGCTATTACCGGGTGTAATATTCACATTCCCAAGGTAAACATCAAGTTGCTCAAATAATGATGCAGCAAACTTATTCGTAGGGATTACTTTTTCTGTTGAATCTGTATCTACTTTTAGTTGTGCATACAAATAAGAAGCAGCTAAATCCGTATAATGTTCAGAGCCAGGTATAACAAATTCAAAAACAGTTGATTTTGATAGTGATCCTATTGGTCTGTACTCTACATCATACATGCTTTCAATAACAGTTTGAGTCGGGGGTACTTTAAATAAATCAAGTTCAGCAGTGGTAGCTGGAGCAGAAGATGCGTGCAGAAATTCCATCATGAAAAAATATCTTTATGTTTTTTAGCCTTTTTTCTGGTTGTTTTTCTCTTACACACTCTTTTTAAAGAGCGTTTCTTCACTTTACGCGTAGACTTGCTCTTTGTTAGTCTTTTTCTTTTATATAATCTTTTTCGTCCGCGACCTTGTTGTGATGCTACACTTTTTTTGATTTTGGCTAAACCTTTGTGGGCAAAATCTTTAACACCTTCTTTAAAAGCTTGTTGAATTTGCGGGTCTTGCACAACTCTTTTACCAATACTAACACCTTTATCTAATGCTTCTTTTCCTAAAGCTTTAATTATTGGAAGCGCTAGCCGAGCGATAAAACTACCAAAGCCATAACCCCTTTGATATCTAGGACCTCTGACAATTCTGATATCACCAAATCCTGAGCCGATTTGATTGGCAAAATAATCGTTGAAATCACTATCTTTTGGACAATATGTTTTTCTTTGAATCATTTTATTAAATTTTTTTACATTGTTTTCTTTATATTAATTACTTTTCGAAAATCAAGACTTAGGAAAACTCTTCCAATGCCTGCGAATCTGATCTGCTCTCTGTGTCATCTGCTAAAACTACTGAAACGCTTTCAATGTGGTTTTTACGCACTGGATAATCGATGCGATGCTCAAATGTACAGTAACCAATGCCTTGATAGATACCACTCGTCAGCGGAATTGCTCGCAATATTGGTGATTTTGTACCTCCAACATTATGATCTCTAATGATATCAGCATACACGTACATTAGTTTCACCTCTTTCTCAAATGATTTTAGACCGTTGAAATTTAGTGTTTGCGAGCTTAAAGAACTGGTGTAATCATGAACTTTTGGATCAAAACCTAGATATTCCAATATTTTTTTGTCTTGAAATTTCGGAACATACAGCATCCTACCAGCGCATGACCATTCTGGTGAATCCTCACCACCAGCTCCAATAACACTGCATTTACCGTAATACTTGTTCTTGAAGTAGAATTTTATATCATTTGTTGCATTAGCAGCTGAAGGGATAATTACAGGTAATTGATCTGAGCTTCTGTTGTCCTGAATTATTTTATTTTTTATTTCCTCTGTGTGAGATGGGTCAGTCAAGATGTTTAATTTAGCATATTTAGCGGCCGCGTAATCGTAGAAACCAACCGAAAATGTTACTTTACCATTTTCAAGAAAAAATTTCGGATATGATTTCATAACCGCCAATTCTTTTGTAGCGGCTTCCATTTCGTGATTTTGTTTATTCAAGATTTTTTCTATTGAATCACCTGGGAAAATACTCACTGTCCTTTCTGCTTTGTTTTCCCATGGATGTTCTAATCTTAAGTTTTGCTTATCATAGACGACATAATGCGCGCTCATAATTGAAAATTTCAACTCAAGTTTAGTGGGAATTTCAGGCTCAACTTCTAGGGGAAAATAAATTTCAGTAAGCGCAACTTCCCATTCTCCATCTAATTCTAATGCAGGGTCAATTTGATTTTCGAATCTCGATAATGTATTATCAGGGAAAATGCTCATGGATCCATTCGATATAAGATCTATTGTGAAATTATCTGTTGTTGTCATTTTGTATTGATAAGTTATTTATGTCCCAAACCCAACTAGCAAATTTGCGAGGCCAACCTTCCCATTTAACCAAGTACTTATATTGTCTTCGAGATCTATCGTAAACTCTCTTTAAAACTTTTTCTACCCTATGTACTTCATGAGGGTTAAATTCAACCTTTTGTAATTCCTCAGGATAAAAAATTGAAGATACACTTTCCCCTTGTAAGTCTTTCAATTTATAAATGAATTTTTGCGGCGTTTCTTTGACTCCTGAAATTTTAAATACTTCATCAGTCCATTTTTGAACAGCATCCTTTTCAAAATTACCAGAAATTTAATGGAATTTTGACAAGTTCATTTTCATTGAACTTTTTCTTTTTGTTGTCTTCACTCTTGATTGATCTTTGAATTATCTGCACAATAGATTGTTGATTATCTTGCGTTACAGAGTTTGGAGCTGTTTCAATAGTTCTGTGGTAGGAATTGTTGTAATTATTCACAATGTTCTGCAAATCATCAATATATCGATGAGTATGTTTATAGTAAATGAATCGGTATATTCGGGAACGTAATGTTCTTATTAGTCGTTCAGCTAAAGCACACTTTATTGAAGAACCAGTTGTAGTAAAATAATGAACACCCTGAGATGAACAAAAATCTTTGAACCTATTGTTGTTGAATTCTCGACCTTGATCAGTTTGCAATTTTTCAGGCTTTCTCCCTAGAGATAAAATTGCAGAAAAAGCATTTATAATAGTTGACCCTGATTTATCTTTGCAAGGTTGTACCCATGTAAATCTGCTCAGAACATCAATAACAACTAATAAATGTTTGATTCCATCATTTTGTTGTGACCAATAGGACATGTCCATCAAGTCTGCTTGCCATTGTTCATCAATTCTGTCAACTAATATCGCAAGTCTTTGAAATTTTTTTCGCCTTGTACGAAAGTTTGTATAGGTGTCTTGTTTCATTAACCATTGCTTTACAAATTTGTAATCGATCGATGGATTGAATTGTTTGGCAACATTATAAAGCCTTTTAGCACCTCCGAAACTACCGTCACTATCTAAGTCATAATAAAGTTGTTTTAAAAATTCTTCACGTTGCTCCACTTGAGGCTCTGACATTTTTTCACCTTGTGCTTTCTCGGTCTATCAGTTGATTTCTTTTCATACTTTCGAATCGCTTTTCTGAAAGATTCTTTATATTCATTCAAATTGGTTGGAGACGTAAACTTCTGATCTTTATTATCAATGGATTTTGGATGGTTTTCCTCTTGTAATTCAGCTTTTTGCTGATGGTTAGCGCTTTTCAATAAATTATATTCTTTCTCTGGAATCAAAACTAATTTGTTTAAAACATTCATTTTTTAAATTGATCAGCTATTTTTCCTCCTAAATAAGATATAGCTGGCCAAAGTAATGCGGGTAGAAATGCTCCACCAGTTTGATTTATGATTTCTTTGCGTTTCTGCAATGAAATGCTTTTTTTTGAAAGTAGTCTTAACTTATTCTTATAAGGTGCGAGTCTCTTGTTATGATAATCTGAAAGAGATATATTCCCGTTCAATGTGTTTTTACTAATTTCTGATATTGAATAATAAATACACGATTTTGCTTTAGATAAAAGTTGTGTAAGATAAAACTTTTGTTGTTTCTTTGTTTTTGCCTGTGCAATGTTTTTCAGTGTGGGTAAACACTTGATAACACTTTCAATTGACATTTAATTAGACAATAATTTTTATTGCCATCTTTATATAGATTATAAAACAAATGCGTACATTGGTTCATTATCCTCATTGAAAATATTTGTAATGAGTCTTACTTTCTCATTTGTATCGGGTTTAAGATCAATAAATAGATAAGAAAATGGAGTGGAAGTAGCGTCTTCATAAGCAGCTTGAAATTTTTTAATCTTTGACGGAAACATTTGTCTACCAATATTAGTTATCATTGATTTATCTCGTGGATTTTTGAAACATACAACATATTGACTATTTAAGCTAATATTTCTACTCTCTCTACCTTTCATAAAAAAATTTTGAGTTACTAAAATTACTGATATATTTCGATGATGAGATCCTTTAGTGAATAGATTACTGATGAATGTTTGATTCGATGCTTCCAACATTAAATCATCAATAACAATCCATTCAGGCTCTTCTCCGCCTGCATTTTTTATGACTTCTTCCTGAAGACCTTCGATGAACTTTACATCTGTCATTGAATTAAATATTTTTTGATACTCTCCATAAAGGTAGGTAATTTTCTTTGGAGCTGGGTCACAAATATAACCAGCTTTATTTATCATATCGCGAATAAAATAGGTTTTACCTGAGCCTGTTGGCCCCGCGATCAGCATTGTAAAAGGATGTTTTAAATGAATTGAGAAGGACATTTTCTTATTTTGAAAAAATTTATTTCTTTATATAGTCATTGCATTTAAATAACAACGGTTGGACTTAATGTATTCTGTAGGTTGTTTTCAGAGTGCATAGATTTTATCTTAGGGGTTGGAAGTAGGAATCCAAGTGATGATCCTAGTAGTGCTGTCCACAATGGAAGATTACCAGTTTTTAAGATGATGTTTGCAATAGCGACTATCAACATTGCAATCAAAACAATTATTTGAACAGAAAAAAGTACTTTCTTGTACCAGATTTTGGCGTCTTCTCCTTGAGTCATGATGTGGATGATTTGATAGGTTATCAACAATAGTATCATCTTTATATAAATTTCATTCTAATTTCATAGTCAAATAGATTACAATAGTCTCGAATAGATGATAAATCTTTTAAACCAGTTATTATAACTTTTCCTGTCCTGAATATTATATAAATAACCTTTGATTTATCAAGTTTCAAGTGAATTCCTGGAAAAATTTCCGGTTCATAGGAGGATCCGGGGTGCTGTAATAGCTTTTTATAGTCAAATTCATCGACAATTTGTGAACAAACTGTAATATTTACTATTTTATATGTAATAAACTTTATATCATCAGGATAATTTGAACAAAAACGATCAACTAGAACCATTGATGTTGCAAAATTTTGAACTCCTGTTACATTTATCTTTCCGGAATCAAATATTAGAAGACAACCATCGGGATATTTCAATATTCCACCTGACAAACGTTTAGGATATTTTATATATTGAAATGTTTCTTTAATTTTTTCCCTTGTTAGTTTACTGTCCAATGTAAATGATGTCACAATGTTAACTATAAACAATTCTCATGTAAGTACTTCATTATGAATGACGGTTAGTCAATGAATTTCAGTTTAAATACTCCTGTTATTTTCGCACGACAAATAGGACATGAAGCGATACCTGGTGCACAATCAATACATGTAACAGTGTGCTCACAGGGGTAAAAGCAAACTCCTACTTCTTTTTCAAGACAAACTTTACAAACATATCTAGCGTTTGATGGTTCTAGCAAAGGCGTATCAGATCTTTTAATTGGTTGGACTTTTAAACATGATCTAATAAAACTAATTCCACACTTAAGATACAAATAAGTGCACCAAGGAGCACAAATGGCATGTGCTATCCAAGCATCATCCTCTGGAATCCAATTACGTATGTGAATGCCACAGTGAAAACAAACAACAGTATCAGTTTGCCCTGCGAACAGAAAACCAGCTTCTGCTAATTCAGGTGGGGATATACTCTCACTAGTCCAGTTTGTGAAAGTTGATAAACGACTTGATAATGTAATATATTCTGGATGCTGAGCTTCAATATCCCACGAAGAGCAACTAAACTCATAAGATGAAGTAATTGATGCACTAATATCTTGTACTTGTAGATTGTATGTATCAGGTTCATCACTATCCGCATTTTGTCTTATCAAATCCGCTGATAATACGTTTAAGGGATAAAGTTGAGTTACATCTAGTAACAACTGAGCAAAAGGTATAAGGGTTTGACTTTGTTCATCCATTTTGAAACGAGGTTTAAGAAAAAATGAACTTTTCTTGTTATTTGCAAACATTTTATAGAAAAAACTGTACCGTTTTCATCTCGCTTGACGTAATTAACAATCTCAAGGACAAAACTGTTTAATTATAAGTTATAGTTTAATGAACTATGTAGTAGAGTTAGATTATGTACTAGGGTTAGATTGTGTAGAGGGGTTAGACTGTGTAGAGGGGTTAGATTGTGTAGAGGGGTTAGATTGTGTATATTTACTACTACTTCAGTTTGTTGTGTGTAAAGTATTTCCAATACTGTTTTATTGATTCATGGAACCGATTCATTATACTAATAGGTGAATTTATGTGATTTCATGGTATAATGTTTCATCCAATTGTTTGAACAAGTGACACAATTGCAGCACAATGCAAGTCAACGTTTCATCGATAATTGGCCTCTTCTGTCTAATTGGTTGCCTCTATCAAATTTACGATATAACACAACTTTATTTACAATTCAAAGTTCGTCGAGAGGTTGCTTATGATTTTACAACTTATGCTGAACTGCCAGCTATCGACATCATGGTACCTATGGCTATGGCCCTTAATTATTCTTTAATTAGCCTTGGTTCTAAAAGCCTGAAATCGACTTGTGAGCTACTCAACAAAAAGTATAAAAGTAGTGAATTAGTAGGGAAGAGTCAAAGGGGCGGAGCTAGATATCGTCAACTCTTCGGTCTGAAAGAAGTAAAACTAGTTTCAGGTCAGAGAAGGGGTGGAGGTTCAGGAGTGAGCTCGAGGGGGCTCCCTCATAGAAGTGACCGTGAAGGGTCATTTTATGACGGCAATAAAACGCAAAAAGCTTTTTAGTTGAAATGTATATTCATATGCACCTGAACTCGTCTAAAAGCAATAAAATTGAAACTTATAACCAAACTGCGTTGCTCTTTTTCGTTAATTATTTTACCGACAAAGAGGTTGTAAGAAATAGATGCAATTTAGTAAAAAGTTCTCAGAATGTAATTACATTGACGAAGGATCTTTCTCTTTCTGCTCTTTTTGCTCCCACTCTTTATTGCTCAAAATTTTGCTTTAAAAGCGATTCGCGTTTTTGGAGAGAATCAGTATACTTTTGACTTACAACAACTTCTAAATAGTTTTTCTTTTTGTGCTAAACTTCAACCTTTTCAACCTATGTTTCTTGTGCTCATCATCATCTTTGCTTTAGTTTTCTGTTCTTGTTCTTGTTCTTGTTCTTTTCATATTGGAAGTTTTCATTTTGAGTTTCAACTTCAAATTTCTATTGTGATCTTCGCCTTTACTGTTTGTGATTTCAGCAATTATTCATTCAACGATTTAATATCATCATCATGTCTCGACGTTTTATGTACCCATCAAACTATTGTGAACTTGTTCTTGATGCTTCAATGTACAATCGTGAAGATGATGATATTTGTATGTCCGTGGATATTCCAGAGGAAATAATAATGGATGATGCTGAAGCTGATGCCTTGTGTCTTGGTGTTACTTTAAGTGAAATAAGTGATAAATCATGTAGTGGAAACTTGTTCTCAATCAGTTTCATGCGAAGCAATGGATATTAATTGTGCTACTGGTGTGAATCAAATGGATTACAATGAAGAGAATGCTGAAGTTATCATCATCGATACAGTTTCATCAATCATTGACGCTATTGAAAATGCTGTTGAATTTGATCGCGATATAGCTTCTGGTATCGTTCAGGATCGAGAACAGGAATTATCTAATGAACCAAACCAGGATGATGATGACTGTTCAAACCAATCGGAATTGCTTCAAATCGGTCAAGGTACGGATGAAAATCCAATAATCAACTTCACTGTAAAGGATGAAGGTCAGTGGCAACAAAATGATAATTTTCATACTCTTACTAAAGTCGTTCGTGCAGATATTGTAAATAATACAAACCGCTCAGTAGATTTACTAGAAATATCATCAGCAATCAATGATGCTTACGAGCGTTTCGTCCAACAAATGATATCTGGAGCAAACCCTGATGATATAATCAGTCTAACTTTCAACAATCCTCGTGATGATAGACAGCTCTTTATGAATTTTAAAACCAGAAATTTTGATAAAAGTGAATTTCTTGCCCGTGCTGAAAAGCTAGCTCAATCAAGTGGTAGTTTTTTAGATGGTGGTGAACTTGAAATCACAATTCAAATCCTTAAATCTATATCTGGATCAGGAAAGCGCATTTCAAAACTACTTGAGCCAGCTGAAAGAGCAAAACGTCAAGAATCAGTAGTCGTGATAAGAAATGAAGATGAGTATTGTGGTTACTATGCTATCGCATTAGGTAAATTTCATGCTGATAAGACTCCAGGTCAAGAAAATCAATGGATATCCTTAAGAAGAAGGATAACAAAACTCAAATCATTCGCAGCAAGACTCTTCATGGATCTTAAAATTGATGCACTTGATGCAATGGACATGAATAAAATTGCGGAAATTCAGAACGCTTTAATAGGATATCAAATCGTTGTTGTTGACTCAAAAACACGTCTTAAAATATTTGGTGGTCCAACTGCAAATAAGAAAATATTTTTAGAATATACTGATAACCATTTCAATCTCATAACCAAAATCAGAGGTTACATGCAATGCAATAATTTTTGCGTTCGCTTTTGGGTAAAACTTGCGGATGATAGTCATATCTGTAAGGATGCTTGTCAGTTGTGTTCTGCTTTTCCAGTTTGTCCCCTTACTGAATCAGTGTTATGTGACAGTTGTAACCGAACATTCAACAACGATATCTGCTTCGAAAACCATATCCGACTCAACATCTGTGATTCAAAAATTAAATGCAAAGATTGTTGGATAACCTACAAACCTAAGGATGGACATAGATGTGGTTATTACAAGTGTGAAGGTTGTAAGCTCCTGTACACAACAACCCCTCACTACTGCTTTATACGTCCGCATTCTATTGCCGAACTCAAAGAAGAGGATGAAAACCTGGTATTCTATGTTTTTTATGACATTGAGTCAATGCAGCTTCCAGCATCAAGGAATAATCTTCTACATGTTCCGAATCTTCTAATCTCATACACAATATGCAGTAAATGTTTTGATATGTCATCCCTAAAGAAGTCGCCAGATAATTGTGAAAACTGTGGGATTTTACGCAGAGTGTATAGAGGAGAAAATTGTACTAAATTATTTTGTAACTATCTGTATCGAGAAGCTGCACCAAAAGCACGTTCTCTCGGTGCAAATGTGACTGTTGTCGCCCACAATCAAAGAGGATATGATGGACATTTCATTATTCAAGACTTTTATCAGAGACATTTTGCAGCAGTTCCTGTTATAATAATGCAAGGTTCTAAGCTAACATTCATAAAAATGGAGAATATTCGCTATATCGACTCTCTTTGTTTATTCATGCAGCCTTTGAGTTCGTTGTGCAAATCTTTCGATGTGACCGAAACTAAGAAAGGATTCTTCTCTCATCTGTTCAACTTACCAGAATTACATTGGTAAAATTCCAGATATATCCTATTATGATCCTGATAATATGAAGCCAAACATGAATTGATAACTTGGTATAATAGATTGGCCAATAGCAATTATGAATATGATTTTTCAAAAGAGCTAACCGATTATTGCGACTCAGATCTGAAAATCTTGATGTTATCGGTGATGAAATTTATTAGATCTTTTTCTGAAATCAGCAGTATCAACCCTCTCACAAGAAAATTCACTCTAGCTTCAGTCGCACTTGAAGTCTATAGAGCTAGACTATTAGCACCTTCAACACTTGCCATAACACCAAATGCTGGATATGTTTCAAGAAAACAATCTTTATCTGCTTCATGCTGGCTTGATTATCAACAGCACATTATCGGTGGTTCTTATGAAATTAAGAGGGAATTTAGAATTGGTCCTTATTATGCAGATGGATTCATACCAGAAACGCAACAAGTCTTTGAATTTTACAAGTGTTTCTTTCACGGCTGTCCTGATTGCTATACTGATAGAAGTATGACAAATCCTCTCTTACACGAAAATTTGAACGTCGGTCAGATATATGGAAGACTATTGGAAAAAAGAAGATACTACAACCATCGAGGATTGAAGTTATTTGAAATTTGGGAGCATGAATTCAATCAGCTGAAAAATCAACACATTTACATCAAGCAACGTATTTCACATAGGTATACAATTAAAGAGGCAGGTTATATTGATATCCGTGAGAGTTTCTTTGGAGGTCGAACGAACAACATCAAATTCTACCATGAATGTGCTCAAAATGAAAAGATAAGGTATCTAGACTTTACATCACTTTATCCATACGTTTTGAAGAAGAACGCCTTCCCTGCTGGTCATCCTAAATTATTAGAAGAAGATTTCAACGAAGATGATATCAGTGAATATTTTGGATTCATCAAGTGCAAAGCGCTTCCTCCTGCTAACCTAAATATCCCCGTTTTACCTTATCGAGTTAATAAGAAACTTTTGTTTCCGTTGTGCAGAACATGCGTCTTTCAGAACATACAGACGTATTGCATACATAATGATTCCGAACGCATGATAACAAATACTTGGACATCAGAAGAGTTAAAGACAGCAGTTAGATTTGGTTACCGCATCATCAAAATTTATCAAGTATTGCAATTTGAACGAAATATTTTCTGATTATATCAAAATGTGGCTTAAAATAAAACAAGAGTCGTCTGGCTGGCCTGCTTGGTGTATCTGAAGCTCAAAAGTCTACCTATATTGCAGATTATGCAGATCATGAAGGAATAAAGCTTAATCCTTCAGAGATTCAAGCCAATCCAGGGAAGCGAAGTATTGCTAAACTTATGCTGAACAGTTTGTGGGGTAAATTTGCCCAGAACTCAAATTTAACAAAAACATCTATAATGCGCGATTATGCAGATCTTTGGACTCTAATGAACGATGATACACAAGAAGTTTTAGGTGTCAACCAAGTAACTGATTCAGTTATCATTGCTCAACATAGATATTCAGAGGAACACACTGATAAAGCTCCACAGTCAAAAACAAACATTGCTGTTGCAAGTTTTGTAACAGC